AATTAGTGGATTTAAGATAATTGAACAAATACTAGATATTTAATACAGAATGAAATGTCCACATGTTATCTGTTTGTAATGTTGATGTACAGCATGTACACCAGAAAAAATTTATTTCAGTAGGCATAACATAAAAAATAAAATCTTAAACAATTTTAAAGGCATACATAGTTTTGACTTAATTGGTAAAAAATGTTTTGTTTCATAACAATGAATATGAAATTTAAAGAAGAATCAAAGAAATTAATTTGTACTTTGAACATAACAAGATTCACTTCCTGTTTTACTTCTTGTATTTTATAATCCTCCTGACATAGGAACACTCAACAAATTGATTTTTAACAATGATGGAGAAAAAAGTAACTGTTTTTTTTTCCCTTCTGCAATATATTATTGCATCAATATAATATGATCATCTCGTGTCTCACCTGTTATATTTATATAAAACTCCTTACTGAGGAGCACTTTGGTGTGCACTTAAAAATACTTTTTTGTAACAATTCAAATGATAATAAATATCTCTCAATAACATATTTACTATATGTTTGAACAAGTAATTTAAATATAGATAATTTAATTACATTAAACATTCAATTTTGCATGTATAACTCCATCTTTCAAAACTACTTGTTTATTTTTATAGACTGGTATAAGTTATAAAACATTCAAATTTCTGATGATTATTTTCCTTACCAAATGTACAAGTTAGTTAAGATTAACATCAAAATGATATGCTTTGCTTCATGGTATGATAATTTGATAAAAAAAAACAATTCTTACTGGAACCAACATCAAGAACACACTAATTTCTGAATATGGTTTAAATACAACTAATGTTCTCCAGCTGAGCCTAGCAATATTCAAGGTAATTTATACACTGTCCAACAGTGCCCTTAAAATCTGGGTTATAACGCTAAAGTGCCCTTTCAGACAACTAGCACCCTTCTGCCCTGAGATTCAAGCTGGAACACTGAATTGTACCAATCTGAGGAAATAATCAATTCACCTTAAAATAAAACATTTCAGGGGCAATACAATGTAACTCCAATAAGATGTCACTGGATTGTCTCAGACCAAATGTATCAATGTCATATCTTCATCACAATATAACAAACATTTTGCACTAGTTCTTTTATATATAACGTTAAAAATGTCAGAGAAAATGCAAAAAAAAGACAAAATTCAGAACATGACCTTGACCTTTGACCTTGACCTAATTTTCTGAGTTAGGATCCAAGGACCTCAAATAAAAAGACTATAGGTTTATACGGCTTACGGTTTATGAGTTACAAAAACTTTACGACAAACTTATTTGATAAAGGTAGATAACTCCTATAAAATTTCACCAGATCGCTTCGATCCAAATCAGCCAAAAATTCCTAAGGATGTAACGAACAAATATGAAAAAAATGTTGTTGTTATCTTTTTTGGTTATGGAGGAGGTACACTAACAAGAAAATCAGTGTTTGGGGAGATAACTCTTACAATAACAAGTCTTCGCCTTAACAAGATAAGTTTTAAAAGCGCAATAACTGTTCGATATAATATTCAAAGTATCTAAGCGACATCTTGCAAAACAACTTTATACCGCAAGAAAAGTGTTTGGGCGGAAGAAGAAAAAATAAAATTAAAAACCAATTGTTCTCTCAATTGAAGGTCTTTCCACATCAATTTTCAAAGTTATTGAAAAGAATCTAGTTCCGGTTTACTCAATGTTAAAATTGGCATCCAATCATAAGTTTCTTTATACTGATAGGATGAATAAATGGTTTCTATATACTTTTGAGAGAAATAAGGGAGATAATGTGCTACTTCTGGTGAAGTAAATGTCACTTCCGGTCTCATATGATAGCTTCTTTCACACTGATTCCATAAATATATAGTTTCTATATATTTTTGCATGTAGAACAGGAGATAATTGGCCACTTCCGGTTTAGCGAAAGTAATTTTAGTCTTGAGTGATAAGTCTATGTATCTCAGTCTTCACGATTAACTTTAAGATCTACAGGCCCGGGGCTCAATTTTTGGAAAATTTTAGTTAGATTCTGTTGGCCTGTAAATATGATTTTTACAGGCCCGAGAGCAATTTTACAAGCCTGGGCTGCTGGGCCTGTGGTTCAGCATGAAGTCTGGTATCTATATTACAAAATATATTGATTCTGAGTACGTTTATATGAAAAAAGTGCAAAAATAGCTACTTCCGGTTTTCTTAAGGTCACTTCGGGTTGCCATTTTTCAAGGTCATATGTCACCCAACCTTTTGGAAAAGGTCATATGGCTTTATAATGAACCAAGTTGAAGTTATATTCAAATAACCCTTATACTAAGACATTTCAGGGGCACTAACTCCTATAAGATGCCATTTAATTGTATCAGACTAAATGTAACATACATGTATCTTCATTTCACATGTTTCAATAAAGCAAACATTTTGCACTTGTTCTTTTATATGTATCTTTCAAAGTGTCAGAGAAAATGCAAAAACAAGCAAAAGTCACAATTGAGAACTTGACCTTGACTCCATTTTCTAAGTTGGGACCTAGGGGCCTGAAATAAAAAGATTCCAGGGTTATACGGTTAACGGTTTATGAGTTAAAAAACATACCAACAAATTTATTTGGTAAAGGTAGATAACTCCTATAAGATTTCATCGAATCGCTTCGATCCAAATTAGTCAAAAATTCCTGAGGATGTAACGAACAATTTAGAAAAAGAATTTTGTCGATATCTTTTTTTGTTACAAAGAAGATGCACACAACTTTTTTTTATTAATTTTTATTATTTATAACTTCCAATTTACAACATAATATACACAAATAATAACAATATATAATATATAAATCTATTGATATTATTTAATCAAATACATCTTTTTATTAGGAAGCAATTTTTTTTTTCAAATATACAAATATAAGATAAAGAGTAAAGCAGTCTGAACACCGGACAGAGAGAGAGAGAAATAGAGAGAGAAAGCGAGTGAGAGAGAATAGTGTGGTGAGTTTTCAATACAATTCATCTAGACATTGAATTATATTTTAGAATGGTAAATACAGCATTTTCATTTATAACATGTATAATATTAAATGTAAAGTATATACATTTTTGTACTTAACTAAGTAATCTATCAAAAATATTCCATTCTCTGAGAAACTGATGCTCACATTTGTTTTTCATAGCAATATATTTGTCAGTTGCATAAACATATTTCATGTTCTCTTTTACTGAGTTTGATGAAATATGTTTATGCAACTGACAAATATATTGCTATGAAAAACAAATGTGAGCATCAGATGCACACAACTTGATAAACAGTGAATAAGGAGATAACTCTTACAAAGAAAATTATTCGGATTAGCAGGGTGAAATTTAAAAGCGCATACATTGTATGATACAATATAAGAAATATCTAAGGGACATACTGCGAAACAAATATTTATCGCAAGATAAAAGTTTGGGGGAAAAAAAATAATAATAATAATAATCAGAAATAAAACAATAGGTCTTTCCACTTTTCAATAATTTAGCATTGTAGTAAGATCTTAAAATATTGTCTTCTTTGATACTTACATTCATTTTGTTTGTCAGTTAGAGGCCCTACTGAAAACATTTACTTATAACTACATAATAAACACATAACATTACACATTCCCTAATTTCAGTCAGTGGTACTACTTGTACAAGTAATTTTTATTTACTTGAAGAAGTAAATATTAATATACTTCTATAAGTAAATTTGTAGGATACTTATACAAGTGTATTTTATTTACTTGTATAGGTAAATAATTTTTTGGCTTAGTTATGTCCCTTAGACATTCAGATTTTTTTACTTATACAAGTAAAAAAGTCATCCTATCTTCTTTTCTTGAATTCTTAGGACTTCTTTGCTCTAATAGAATTTTTAGTTGTCTGTCCTTTGCAGATGTCTTTACTAATCATTTAAGTGTAATTTCATGGACAATAAAAATCCCATTTGTCTGTTATCTTCAGAACACTGCTCATTTACAAGCCCCCAAGGGGCAATTTTTGAAGGCCTTGCGCAAATACTTAAGATCTTTGCGCAATCAGTTTCTTTGTTGAATTAATGAGATGAAACATTGAACTCTAATAAAAAATTATGAGCTAACCTGAGAAAAATTGTTAAAGGCATGTTTTTACATCTAAAAACTTGAGAATATTTGTGGGATTGTAAAAAAAAATTACTTAAACAAGTAAATTTTCGAGAAAATTAAGGGGAGATTATTCAAACATTATAATTAACTTATATAAGTATATTTTATTTACTTCTTCAAGTAAATAAAGATTACTTGTACAAGTAGTACCCCTGACTGAATTTTGATTGGCTGAAAATGTCGTATTTTATTTTCATATAAAATGTAATATTTATACCCTTTTTGACATGTTTGATATTATTTGTGCTCTTGTATCACTTTAATCGTTGCTTTTATGATGCTGCATGCCTTTATGTTTTTTGTTTGTATACTGCTTGTACGTGTATATCATGTATATATATGCAGATATTTTATATAGTCGGTTGTATAAGAGCTCTTTAGAGCTCATGTTTCATTTTGTTTTGTATATGTGCCGATTTTAGATAGAATCTAATTACTAACTTACTCTTTGTAATAAGATTTAGGGGTGTTGGTGACTGAGTGGTATAAGTATTGTTCAACTACCATGACTTCTGTATCTATAGCTTGTCAACACTGACATGATTGAGGTTGTGAGTTCCAACCCGGTGAGGCAGTTGGATTCAACTCCAATCTTAATTGGACTAGGATTGTCAATTTTCCTGCTGAAGGTCAGTGGTTTTATCTGGGGACTGACTTACTCCATTTGTACTCCTCCGCCAATAAAAACTGACCTCCAGGAAAAAGCCAATAGTGCTATAAGTGGGGTTAAACACCAATCAATCAATCAATTCAATAAGATTTCTAAAGGGTCATCTAAAAGAACATTTGTAGGTTACATTGGTTTGTACCTATTTTTCTTTCTGTTTACAGCTCTTCAGAAACATGGCCATACACTTCTCAAGAAAATATTACCAACCACATCATTGCTATGTAGAAATTATGCAGAAAGGTAGGTATAAGATGAAAAAAAAAGGCTGCTACTTATAATAGCTATCTGACAGGAGACGTACTGAATTAAGTGATTTAAAAATCACTTAGATTAGTACATGTAGTAATGAATGTTGAAATAATTGAGAAGTAAATTAGTGTGATTAGCAATATTTTTGATCAGAAAAAAAACATCTGTTAAATAAAAACAATAAGTTGATAAACTGAACATTTACACATTTTGTTTTGATAAACTTGTGAAAGTAACAGAAATGCACTTCTTGGGCAAATAATTGTTTCACTATATCACTGTATATCACATACATGACATATTGATATGATTTTTCAAAAGTTTTACTACAAAATCAATTAATTAGATTTTCCTCATACCCTGTAACTTTATGCTTAAGAACATGAAGAACAATAAATAATAAAAAATAAGGATATGTGGTATGATTGCATAAGAACCAACTTTCCACTAAAAGAAAGGGGGACAAGGATGTGAACAACTACAGGTCAATGTACGGCCTTCAACAATGAGCAAAACCAAAACATTATACTGACCTGTAACAGCCAATGGATGACAAAACTAAGAAACATTTCTTTCATGTCATGCTCTATGCTCATTTTAACATGGGTAGCCAACACAACATTTGATTATTTGGGTAGGCGGGTGCATCTTGGTAGCTGCATGGCTATAGTGGAATCTGTTTTCTTTTAATTAATGCCAAATGAATTGCACTATTATTTTACAGGAAGCCAAAGACAGGTATTTTGATGTTAAACATGGGAGGACCAGAGAACACTGATGATGTTGGATTCTTCCTCAATAATCTGTTCATGGATAAAGATCTGATACCCCTACCTGCTCAAAGGTAAGAATTAAAGGAGATGATGGATTCTCCCTCAATAATCTGTTCATGGATAAAGATCTGATACCCCTACCTGCTCAAAGGTAAGAATTAAAGGAGATGATGGATTCTCCCTCAATCATCTATACATGGATAAAGATCTGATACCCCTACCTGCTCAAAGGTAAGAATTAAAGGAGATGATGGATTCTCCCTCAATAATCTGTTCATGGATAAAGATCTGATACCCCTACCTGCTCAGAGGTAAGAATTAAAGGAGATGATGGATTCTCCCTCAACAATCTGTTCATGGATAAAGATCTGATACCCCTACCTGCTCAAAGGTAAGAATTAAAGGAGATGATGGATTCTCCCTCAATAATCTATACATGGATAAAGATCTGATACCCCTACCTGCTCAGAGGTAAGAATTAAAGGAGATGATGGATTCTCCCTCAACAATCTGTTCATGGATAAAGATCTGATTCCCCTACCTGCTCAAAGGTAAGAAAGGAGATGATGGATTCTCCCTCAACAATCTGTTCATGGATAAAGATCTGATACCCCTACCTGCTCAAAGGTAAGAATTAAAGGAGATGATGGATTCTCCCTCAATAATCTGTTCATGGATAAAGATCTGATACCCCTACCTGCTCAAAGGTAAGAATTAAAGGAGATGATGGATTCTCCCTCAACAATCTGTTCATGGATAAAGATCTGATACCCCTACCTGCTCAAAGGTAAGAAAGGAGATGATGGATTCTCCCTCAACAATCTGTTCATGGATAAAGATCTGATACCCCTACCTGCTCAAAGGTAAGAATTAAAGGAGATGATGGATTCTCCCTCAATAATCTGTTCATGGATAAAGATCTGATACCCCTACCTGCTCAAAGGTAAGAATTAAAGGAGATGATGGATTCTCCCTCAATAATCTATACATGGATAAAGATCTGATACCCCTACCTGCTCAAAGGTAAGAATTAAAGGAGATGATGGATTCTCCCTCAATAATCTGTTCATGGATAAATATCTGATACCCCTACCTGCTCAAAGGTAAGAATTAAAGGAGATGATGGATTCTCCCTCAATAATCTATACATGGATAAAGATCTGATACCCCTACCTGCTCAAAGGTACGAATTAAAGGAGATGATGGATTCTCCCTCAATAATCTATACATGGATGAAGATCTGATACCCCTACCTGCTCAAAGGTACGAATTAAAGGAGATGATGGATTCTCCCTCAATAATCTGTTCATGGATAAAGATCTGATACCCCTACCTGCTCAAAGGTATGAATTAAAGGAGATGATGGATTCTCCCTAAATAAATATTCATGGATAAAGATCTGATACCCCTACCTGCTCAAAGGTAAGAATTAAAGGAGATGATGGATTCTCCCTCAATAATATGTTCATGGATAAAGATCTGATACCCCTACCTGCTCAAAGGTAAGAATTAAAAGAGATGATGGATTCTCCCTCAATAATCTGTTCATGGATAAAGATCTGATACCCCTACCTGCTCAAAGGTAAGAATTAAAGGAGATGATGGATTCTCCCTCAATAATCTATACATGGATAAAGATCTGATACCCCTACCTGCTCAAAGGTAAGAATTCAAGGAGATGATGGATTCTCCCTCAATAATCTGTTCATGGATAAAGATCTGATACCCCTACCTGCTCAAAGGTAAGAATTAAAGGAGATGATGGATTCTCCCTCAAAAATCTATTCATAGATAAAGATCTGATACCCCTACCTGCTCAGAGGTAAGAATTAAAGGAGATGATGGATTCTCTCTCAGAAATCTATTCATGGATAACGGTCTGATACCCCTACCTGCTCAAAGGTAAGAATTAAATGAGATGATGGATTCTCCCTCAATAATCTGTTCAAGGATAAAGATCTGATACCCCTACTTGCTCAAACATGTCAAAGGTAAGAATTAAAGGAGATGTTGGGTTATTCCTCAATACTGTAAATTCAGTAATTATTGCGTGCAGTTATTATTTGAGTTTCAGGAAAATCTTCATACAGATATATGTATCAGATATCAGAATGCGAGTTCTTATTATTGTGATACTCAACCAGTCGCATTATTCACATTAATAAAAACCTTGCAATAATTTCTGAATTTACAGAAATCTCTTCATGGATAAAGATCTAATGGTCTTACCTGCTCAAAGGTAAGCATTAATAAAATATCAGGTAAATGTCAAGATGACAGTAACCAAACAACAAAGAAACAAACAATATACCAAGGAAAATGTACAATAGACAATATAGGTCTAAGGACAAGTGTACTTATGAAAACTAAAATGAAAAAGAGGGCAATTACTCATCAATTTACATCTGATTTGTGAATTTTTCTCTTATTCTAACAATATCATTATTTTTAACACAGGAAGGCAATTTAACACAGGAACACACATATTTGCATTTCAAAACCAACAATAAGTTTCAGTTATTGCTAGCATTTATTAACCTGATTAATGCAATTGTTAATTACTGAATAAAACTATCTAATAAATAAATGCCATTTCAGGAAAGGCTGCATTAGGATATTATGTTATTGACAGTTTCAATTATCTTCATGTACTAATATTCAAATAAATAAAAATCAAGAATTTCAGAATTTGAGTTAGTCTATTTTCATGATTTTAGTTTAAATAAGTGGTTTATTCAACATTCTTACATTGTTTAAAATGTACACATAATGTAGCTGTTAACTAGTAATCTGTATACAGTTTAATGACTGTACAGGTACATGTTGGTACAGGTATTTATAATCTTGTCAGACATGGAATGTCTGTTTCCAGTGGAATTTCTGTTTGTGTTATTATACCCCACGCAACGAGTTGCGGAGGGTATAATGTTTTTGACCCCTCCGTCCGTCTGTCCGTCAGTCCTGTTTCTTGTCATCGCAACTCCTCTCAAACCACACAACAGAATTTCACAAAACCTTTTTAGATAATAAGGACATACTATGTAGTTGTGCATATCGACAGGAAATTACGATTCAATGCTTTTTCTAGGAGTTATACTCCTTTGAACTTATTTACTTTAATGTACTACTGCAACAGTTTGTCATCGCAACTCCTCTCAAACCACACAACAGAATTTCATGAAACCTTTTCAGATAATAAGGACATACTACGTATATGTGCATATCGACAGGAAATTACGATTCAATTTTTTTTCCTGGAGTTATGCCCCTTTGAACTTATTTGCCCAATATACAACTGCAACCTTTTGTCATCGCAACTCCTCTCAAACCTCACAACAGAATTTCATGAAACCTTTTCAGATAATAAGGACATACTACGTAGATGTGCATATCGACAGGAAATTACGATTCTTTTTTTTTCCAGGAGTTACGCCCCTTTGAACTTATTTGCCCTATATACTACTGCAACCTTTTGTCATCCCAACTCCTCTCAAACCACACAACAGAATTTCATGAAATTGTGTAGATAATAAGGACATACTATGTAGATGTGCATATTGACAGGAAATTATGATTCAATTTTTTTTTCTTACACTTATTTTATTTCTCCAATGACAATGTGGGGATGTGGGGTATGTGAGCGCGCTCACTAAGGTTCTTTCGTGATTAAAAAAAATCAGACATTTAAAATGTACTGTCTATAATTTAAATAATTGTAAAAAAGATGTAATTTGTTTGCAATACAGCAGAGATGGCTGCTTCTTCTCATCATCATCATCATCATACATTTTACAAAATGTATATGATATTTCAACTCGCAACAATTTTACGTTTCTTTGGTTTTATAACAATTCTTTTATTGTGAGCTTTCATACATTATTAAAGATTTACCTAAAACAGTGGTTTTATCTTTTAACATAGTTATAAGTTACCATATGATTTGAATGGTAAAATCCGATTCAATATAAAAAAAAAGGAGATATGGTATGATTGCCAATGAAACTATCCTCCAAAGTTCAAATGCAGCGGGTGTAAGCAATTAAAGGTAACCGTACGCCCTTCAACAATGTTCTGTATGCTTTGATGTAAATGAAGCTTGGAATATATCAGAACTTTATACTTTGATATATCTGTTTATTTAGTCGACTGGCTCCTTTGATAGCAAAAAGACGGACACCAAAAATACAGGAGCAGTACAGAAAGATTGGAGGTGGTTCACCAATCAGGCAATGGACAGAAACCCAGGGAAAAGGCATGGTGGAAATTCTGGATAGGATTAGTCCCGAAACAGGTGTGGAAAATAAACATATACACAATTTAGGTTTAATTTCCTTGATATGACAATATATGGTGAATTCATGTTTTGACAAAATATGGTACTTTTGTTTTATAGATAAAATATGATATCTGTAAATTTTTTGCTGTTTCATGGAATTTACTTTAACAACTATCTCTGCTTCATGGAAAGGTAATCTATCATATTATACAGTATACTAAGTTTGATTCAGTCACCTGTGGTCACGTAATGCTGGTGACTGGAGATGATTCAGTCACTTGTGGTCATGTAATGCTGGTGACTGGAGATGATTCAGTCACTTGTGGTCATGTAATGCTGGTGATTGGAGATGATTCAGTCACTTGTGGTCACATAATGCTGGTGAATGGAGATGATTCAGTCACTTGTGGTCACGTAATGCTGATGACTGGAGATGATTCAGTCACTTGTGGTCATGTAATGCTGGTGACTGGAGATGATTCAGTCACTTGTGGTCACGTAATGCTGGTGATTGGAGATGATTCAGTCACTTGTGGTCATGTAATGCTGGTGGCTGGAGATGATTCAGTCACTTGTGGTCATGTAATGCTGGTGATTGGAGATAAATAAACTCATCATAGATACCAGTATTGAAACTCTGTATTTGCGCCAGATGCACATTTCGTCTGCAAAAGACTCATCAGAGATGCTCGAATTAAAAAAAGTTAAAAAGGCCAAATAAAGTATGAAGTTGAAGAGCACTGAGGACCAAAAATTCCTGAGGTAGAAAAGCCTTAGTATTTCAAAAATGTAAAGTGGAGATGATTCAGTCACTTTTGGTCATGTAATCAGGAGATGATTCAGTCCGCAATGTCCCTCAGTTTTTATATACAATAGACAGGACCTTACATTATACTGTTTTTACTCAAAATAACTGGTAATCACCAAAGTTCACTGTGATTCACTCAAAATTAGGCGAATTTTTAACCAACTCATCTCATGTACTGTATAGCAGTTATTTTATTCCAAATATCAGAAATTAGATTGTTATTTTTCAGCACCACACAAATTTTATGTAGGATTTCGCTATGTACGACCATTAACAGAGGATGCAATTGATGCCATGGATGCGTAAGTATGAAAATTGTGAAAGAGATTACATTTCAACAGAAAGATCTTCTTTCTGATCTAAATTATCATGTGACTAGAAATGACAGGAAGTACTTTTACTGGAGGACTTTATATCATGTTTGTAATCTTGCATTACATACTAAAAACCCATATTATCTCAGGTTCATGAATTTATCATTTTTATACGATAAAATTTTTTTGGGATCGTATAATGGTATGATGCCGTCGTCGTCTGAAGACACATTGGTTTCCGGACAAGAACTTTAGTGTAAGTGAATGGATCTCTATGAAATTTTTCAGGAAGGTTCAATACCACAAAAGGAAGGTTGGGATTGATTTTGGGGATGATGGTCCCAACCGTTTAGGAATAAGGGGCCCAAAAGGGGCCCAAAACAAGCATTTTTCTAGTTTCAGGATAATAACTTGTGTAAAAGTATTTCTATTGCTCTGAAATTGTACCACAATGTTTAATACCACAAAAAATTTAGGGGTTATGGGGCCAACAGTTTAGGAATTAGGGGCCAAAAACAAGCATTTTTTCTAGTTTCCAGACAATAACTTGTGTGTAGGTGTATGGATCTTTCTGACATTGTACCACAAGGTTCCATATCACAAAGGGAAGGCTGGGATTGAGTTTGGGGTTAATTGCCCAAAACATGTAGGAATTAGGGGCCAAAAAAGGACCAAAAACAAGCATTTTTCTAGTTTCCAGACAATAACTTGTGTTTAAGTGTATGGATCTCTCTGAAATTGTACTACAAGGTTCCATACTACAATGGAAAGGCTGGGATTGAGTTTTGGGGTTATTGCTCCAAGGGGGGTTTCAAAAAGTTGGGAGGGGGGGGATTTTTTTTTCCAATTTTTTTAGGGGATTCATATTTTTTTTTCAAAATTTTTCAAATTTTGAATTTTTGAAAAGTTTCAAGGAAATCTTCAATTGCACAGTATTTTGCAATAGATTTGTAAGATCTTTGACCACATTTATTTTATGTCAGAAACCTATATTATGTCAAAAATTTGATGACAATCAAGTTCAGATAGTATCAAGCTTGAATATTGTGTCCAAATTTTCCTCAACTGTTCAGGGTTCGACCTCTGCGGTCGTATCAGGCTGCAATCAGCGAAGCATTTTATTAAACATTACATTGAACAACTGATTGAAAATTTTTCCATTTATTTAAAAAAAAAATTGTTATTTTTATTGTTGATTTTGAAGGCCATAAAAAACAACAATTTTTTTTAAATCAGACAAATATTACTGAATATGATACATTATAGCACAGTGTTGAAGCTAGTTTTGTTAGACCTGATCCTATGATATCATGGATATCAATTAGTTGGAGAGCAAATAAAGTATTCACTTAAAAATCTCTCCAGAAAAAGACTTACTTCATAAGAGAAAACAGAAGGAAAGGAAATGACAATACAATGTTTTATCTTGTGTGTCATATTTATGATAGCTGTGGATTTATTATTATTCATAGGAATCCAATATTAGTGGATTTTGTGGGTTCGGATGAGCAACACATTTAAATATTCAATGAAGTATACATTTTATATATGCTTGTATGAGGACTTTGGCAATACCACGAAATCAAATTTCCATGAACACACAATTTTTATCAATCCATGAAAATTGTTACGCACAAACAAAAAAATTAATGTACAGTATCTGTTATACCAAATATCTGCACTTCCCTAAGTATGAATAAAGGAGGTTGTGGTATATGCCAGTGAGACAATAACCAACAGCACAAAAGCATGAAACATCTAGAGATCAACATTAAGAAAGTTCCTAGATATGTAGTTTGTTCAGCTCTTAAGACTTAATTTAATTGATATTATATAAAATGTTCAATCAATATCAAATTACCTCAATGACATAACCATTTAGATATAAATATACCATGATAACTAAAGGCAATCCTTAGACAATGTTTCTTATTTTAATTTTGTTCAAGCTATGTTAGCCAAAAGTGCTGAAATGCCATTAAACACCAACAGTCAATCAACCAATCTAATCTTTGATCAGCATCATGCCATGTTTTTTTTCTTTATTATCAGTGATGGGATAGAAAGAGCTGTTGCTTTTACCCAGTACCCACAATACAGCTGTTCAACAACAGGAAGTAGTTTGAATGCCTTATATCGTTATACTACAACAAAGAAGGGTCTACCTAGTACAATGGTTTGGAGTGTGATAGACAGATGGCCAACGCATTCAGGACTAGTTGATGTATGTTTACTTTTCAAAAGTGATTTTATACTAACAGTTCTCATGAGTATTAAAATAAGGAGATGTGGTATGATTGTCAATGAGACAACTATCCACCATCTACCAAATGATGCGGATGTAATCAACTAAAGGTGGATGCAGGGCATTCAACAATGAGAAAAACCTATATTGTATAGTACTCTATAAAAGACCTGGACATAACATGACAAAATATAATTCAAAAGAGAAAACCAAGGGCCTTATTTTTTTGTAAAAACAATATGACAGACAGCAACCAATAACAACAACCTCTGAATTACAGGCTCCTGACTATGGACAGTCACAATGAGGCTGGGTAATATTCCAGAAAGATAACATATGGTGTGTCAGGAGGCACTTTTATTATCACATAAGCCATATAATTTCGACCACCTCATTGGCTTTGTGGTAGCATGCCTTGTGCTGGAGGTTATCAATGGTCAAATTTCTGACTTGATCAAGCAAAAGACTTTGAAATTTGTGTTTGTTCTTCTTTGCTGTTATTTAGGAATAAGTGCAGAGACCGGTTGTGTCTGAATTCTAAAAGTTTTTTTGTAAGGCTTGGTGTTTACGTGTTTATCCTCATGTACCACATGATCAATAGTGAAATACCTTTAATTTAATTCACATTTAAGTTATGATTGACTGAAATAAAACATCTATCTTTTTAGGCGTTTGCAGATGTTATACAGAAAGAATTAGACAGATTTACACCAGAACAAAGAGATGATGTTGTCATATTGTTCTCTGCTCATTCCTTGCCTATGTCGGTAATAATTTGCATATTTATTTTTTTGCCAATCCTTTCTCACACTGGTGACAAAGTAAATACTATCTTCTGCCAAAACTATTTCAGTAATTATAGTATATTTACTATTAAATTATGTTCATGCTTTGCCTGTGTCATAGCTACTATTTCCTGCCTATTCATTGCCTATTTCTTGAACCAAATCATTGCCTTTTGCAATAATTGAGAGATATTCTTTTTTGCCCATGGTATAGCATAAAATTTGAATTAATTGAGACTTAGATTATACAATTTTGGTTAAGTTGTCGTATATTAAACTATCCAATAAGAGTTTATAGATTGCTTTCGTTTTCATCCATGTTTTTTTAAAGGCATTGCAATAACTAATAATGGCAAATGTAACTGATAAATAAGCCACCAAGAATAGCAATTACCAAAAATATTGGACCATACAATAGACAACGGTAACCACCAACAGCAAACAAAACATGATCCAGATAGCCTGACATGAACAAAACATGATCCAGATAGCCTGACATGAACAAAACATGATCCAGATAGCCTGACATAAACAAAACATGATCCAGATAGCCTGACATGAACAAAACATGATCCAGATAGCCTGACACGAACAAAACATGATCCAGATAGCTTAACATGAACAAAACATGATCCAGATAGCCTGACATGAACAAAACATGATCCAGATAGCTTAACATGAACAAAACATGATCCAGATAGCCTGACATGAACAAAACATGATCCAGATAGCTTAACATGAACAAAACATGATCCAGATAACCTGACATGAACAAAACATGATCCAGATAGCTTAACATGAACAAAACATGATCCAGATAGCCTGACATAAACAAAATGTGATGATGTTAAACCAGCTTTATGTGTGCATAAACCTCCTCTTTTCCCTTTATAGGCAATATGACTTAAAAGTTAAACCTACAAAATTTTTAAAGTAAAACACACTGAGCTACCAGAAGAATAAAAAAGTAACTTGAACAAGAATATTTAAGATGGCATAAAATTTGGAAAGCAGGGCCAAATATTACATTTATTTGTAGGTTTTAGTCCATAAAATAATTTTAAAGTCAAGAAGAGGCCTTTTTAGTGGTAAATTATAAACTAAAAAATATATAGCATGAAATGTAAAAAAAAATTGAAACAGAACCTATACAAAAATACCATCACATGTAAAAAAGAAATAAATCTTGCAAAAGTTATACAGAAAAGGGAATTACAAGAATTTATGCACTGTGTTTTGAATTTGTAGGTTGTGAACAGAGGTGATCCCTACCCAGCAGAAGTTGGTTCTACTGTTAACCGTGTTATGGAAAAACTAGGTCACTGTAACCAATATAGGCTTGTCTGGCAGTCTAAGGTATGAGACATTTATGCAAAAGAAATTTAAAACACTGTTGGGTATACTCATCTGAGCTAGTTACCATGAGCCAGTTACCAAACAGGAGGCAATCTCAATAATTATGAAAATAAGAAGATGTGGTATTACCAAATTACACAGAAATTAACAACAATATGTCACCATACCGCCTCCAACATTGAGCAAAAGTCATACCACATAGTCAGCTATAAAAGGCCCCTAAAATGACAAATGTAAAAAAAATTCAAACGAGACAAATAATGTCTAAATTTATGCACAAAATAATGAATGAAAAATAATATGATACACAGTAAACTGATCCTGATTTTGGACAGGCACATACAGAATGTGGCAGGTTTAAACATGTTTGAAGGTGCCAACCCACCCCCTAACCTCGGACAGTGGTGTAACTGTGCAACATATAAGAACAAACTATAAAAATCAGTTGAAAAAGGCTGAACTCATCAGATGGATAAAAATAGAAATACATCTAACAATAACACAAAATGTACGTTCAATTTGCATTAATTTAAACAAACAGGCCAAGTTATGTCCTAACTTGTCTTTGTCAACCAGAGGACTTATATATACAAATTTGCTCTAATTTCTGGTAATTTGTAGGTTGGACCAATGCCATGGCTTGGGCCACAAACAGACGCAGCTATAGAAGGTCTAGCTAAAAATAAGAGAAAGAACGTCTTGTTGGTGCCTATTGCTTTTACTAGCGATCATATAGAAACATTACATGAGTTAGATCTGGAATATGCAGAGGAACTTGGTGCTAAAGTAAGTTTGTTACAAATCTATAATACACTTCTGATTATTTATGATTTTTTAAATGATGGGCCAACATTACACTTAAATGTAAATTCATAAAACTTGAAAAAAAAAGAAATTTAAAACATCACATAATTTTTCTTATACTATTAATGGGTAATTCAGAATTTCTTGCAGTTTTTCTATTTATTATAAAAATTGACAGGATCAGTTTCTCAAAAATTAAGATAAAATTTAAATTTTGAGAGCATTATTTGTATGCTTTATTTCTTGAAAACCCTATGATTAACCTTACATTTTTGTCCCTTGTTCAACAATCAATATCACTAATGCAAGCAAAAAGAAATATATGACCAGCCTAATACTTGTCATGCAAAAATATGCTATGAATTAATTTTATGCACATGTTTTCTTTTTAGCTCACCTGGCGTCCGTCGTCCGGCGTCGTCGGCGTTAACTTTTTACATTTTGAACTTCTTCTAGAGAACCACTGAATGGAATGAAACCAAACATGGCATGAATGTTCTTTTTGAGGTGCTGACCAAGTGTTGTTACTTTGTAGCGGATCCATCATCCAAGATGGCCGCCAGCGGGGGACTTAGTTTAACATAGGACCCTATATGAACTACATACAAATGTCTTCTTTTAGAGAACCACTGAATGGAATGAAACCAAACATGGTATGAATGTTCCTTATGAGGTGCTGACCGAGTGTTGTTACTTTGAAGCCGATCCATAATCCAAGATAGCCGCCAGCAGGGGACTTAGTTTAACATGGGACCCTATGGGAAATACATACAAATGTCTTCTTTTAGAGAACCACTGAATGGAATGAAACAAAACATGGCATAAATGTTCCTTATGAGGTGCTGACCAAGTGTTGTTACTATGAAGCCGATCCATAATCCAAGATGGCCGCCAGCAGGGGACTTAGTTTAACATTGGACCCTATTGGAAATACAAACAAATGTCTTTTTTTAGAGAACCACTGAATGGAACGAAACCAAACATGGCATGAATGTTTCTTATGAGGTGCTGACTGAGTGTTGTTACTTTGAAGCTGATCCATAATCCAAGATGGCCTCCAGCGGGGGACTTAGTTTAACATGGGACCCTATGGGAAATACATACAAACGTCTTCTTTTAGAGAACCACTGAATGGAATGAAACCAAACATGGCAAGAATGTTCCTTATGAGGTGCTGACCAAGTGTTGTTACTTTGAAGCTGATCCATCATCCAAGATGGCCGCCAGCGGGGGACTTAGTTTAACATAGGAGCCTATGGGAAATACATACAAATGTCTTCTTTTAGAGAACCACTGAATGCAATGAAACCAAACATGGCATGAATGTTCCTTATGAGGTGCTGACTAAATGTTGTTACTATGAAGCCGATCCATAATCTAAGATGGCTGCCAGTGGAGGACTTAGTTTAACATAGGACCCTATGAGAAATACGTACAAATGTTTTCTTTTAGAGAACCATTGAATGGAATGAAACCAAACATGGCATGCATGTTCCTTTTGAGGTGCTGACCAAGTGTTGTTACTTTAAAGCTGATCCTTCATCCATGATGGCTACCAGATGGGGACAATGTTTAACAAAGGACCCTATGGACAATACATACAAATGTCTTTTTTTAGAGAACCACATACTGAATGGATTGAAACCAAACATGGCATGAATGTTCCTTATGAGGTGCTGACTAAGTTTTGTTACTTTGAAATTGATCCTTCATCCATGATGGCCGCCAATGGGGGGACTTCCTTGAACATAAGACCCTATGGGAAATACATACAAATGCTTCTTCTAGAGGTGCACTGAATGGAATGAAACCAAAACATGGCATAAATGTTTCTTATGAGGTGCTGATTAAGTGTTGCTACTTTGTTGCCGATTTACTGTTCAAGATGGCCACCAGGATTTTTTATTAAATTACAGGACCAATATTAAACCAAATTTGGCCTCACTCATTATTAGGGTATCTGTTATGATTTTAATCTATTTTTACATGATTTCCAAAACCAAAGTAGAATCAGGTGAGCGACACAGGCTCTTGAGAGCCTCTAGTTTTGGTTAGCATATGCTCACAGTTTACTGCATGCATTTTCTGAATTATCAGTTTTTAATGCTCTTCAAGTTTGTATTTGATTAGGCTACTGTTGAGTCTTGAGGTCAAGGAACAGTAAATGAGCTATGTGACATTTTTTTCTGATCCATAAAATTTTGGATACAACCTTTCCTCGTTGAACTATAATAGAAAATCTAAAAAATAATGCATTTATCTCTTTTATTGTCTGAAATTTTACTGATTGAATTCCTTCAAAATAGATGAACATTTGTATAGTAAGCACATAAAATCGGTGAAAAAACCTTCTTAAATTTGTCTTAAAATCATCTAATCTCTAATTTCTACTCCATAGAATTTTCTTTAAAAACTATATGTTGTTGATACATAAATTTCCGTTTTAATGATATACAATAACCATATGGTCACTGACTTCGTTTTTTTTTCAAATAATCAATCTGTTACCTAGTTGGTAGTGAAAAACCTCAAAAATTAACATTTTATGGCCTGCAACACGATGACGTTACGATATTTTCGACGTTTTGTGGTGTTTTTCCACATACAACACCACTTTGAATGATGTATACTATAAAAACGAAGTCGGTGACCCTATCATTATTTTACATCATTATAAAGGAAATTTCTACATCAACAACATATAGTTTTTCAAGAAAAATCTATGGAGTAGATTTAAAGATTTTATGATTTTAAGACAAATGTACGCATTTTTTTTGGCTGATATTTTGTGCTTTCTATACAAATGTTTACCTATTTTGAAGGAATTCAATCAGTAATATTTCAAATGATATAAGAGATAAGTGCATTATTTTTTTGATTTTCAGTTATAGTTCAAGGAGCCAAGGTTGTATGCAAAAGTTTAGCAATATCTTTGACATAGCCCGTTTACTGTAACTTGACCTTAAATTGCAAGCGAGTTTATTCATACATGAAAAGTAGAAATAAATGTTATACTGTTAATGTGAAAAGAACGCACTCGGTCAGATGCTCTGTAAAATGCACCCTATATAGACATGATTTTTTTTTTATTTCAGCATAAAATGAATATAAGAAGAGCTTCAGCTATGAATGATAATCCTATATTTATAGAGGTAAGATTCGATATACACTAATATTTAGGATTGGTTAAGTAACTTGCACTTATTTGAAGCAGTTCAATCAAACCAAAGACTCTAAAATTAGTATTCACTGCTTCTATTATAAGCACCAGCATAATGATTCTGGGTTGACATTTCTATTTTAGATAACTACTTGGTTAACTTGAATGTTATAAATCAGACTCAGAACAAGTACAGAGTTATGTTCACATGGTATTGACTAGAATATGCATGCATATTAATGCAGTAGACAGTAAACAATCAATCCATGTGTCTTATTTTATTTGTCAAAGTTATCACTTGGGCCTTGGTGGCCAAGTCGTCTAAGTAGTTCAACTATTGTAACACTAGCCTGTCAACACTGGTTTTTTTTTTTGAGTTTGTATCCCGCACATGGTAGGTGTGTTTTACTCCCATCTTAATTGACTAGGATTGTCACTTTTTCTGCCTTCGGCTTCCTCCAACATAGAAACATGACTGCCACAAAATAACCAATACTGCTGAAAGAGGCATTAATCAAGCAATCAAAACTATCACACATTTTATATGTATACAATTTACAAACTGTTATTAACAGATAATGCACAAACCCTGGAAACACACTAAAAACTATTTTGTGTAAAGATCTGTAATTTTTATGATTTCCTAATTTGATTCTTTCAAATAAATAAAGTAAAAACTGACCATGAGGGAGTTTGTAACTAAGAGTTGGATCATTAGATTTCTGTATTATTAAATGAATTTGATGAAGAAAAATTGAGATAGTGGATTGGCATTTACATTTTGCCGATGTGTTATTTTTTTTATTCCATTTCAGGCCCAAGCTAATTTAGTGAAAGATCATTTGGCATCAAATATCGCTTGTTCTAAACAGTTATTGCTACGATGTCCATTGTGTGTTAACGGGACATGTGGAAAGACAAAAGCTTTCTTTGCAAGTCAACAGGAGCTATTGGATGAAATGAAATCTCAGGAAAAATCAAGAGCTGTTTCATCAGCTTAATTTAGATACCAACTTTGTTGAAGATTTGTTATACTATAAATTACTTATACTGTGGTTAAATATGTTATTGAATTTTTATTTCCTGATACTCAGGATTCATTTATTTTCGTATATATGATTTTGTGGTTTTGCCAAAGTTTGCATATAACCTGATAGAAAATTTGTAATTTGTTGAACATTTAAATTCGTGGTTCACCTGTACCCATGAATACAATGAAAACTGGTATACAACGAATAATAATGAATCCACTGTAGGTGAACAAATGTCAAAATTGTTATCCTGGCCTCATTCTTATTGTTACATATTTAATTTGAAACTTTAACAAATATTATAGGAATTAGTATCATAGAAATAATTAATTTTCAATGGCTTTTGTAAACACACTTTTAAAAAGGGCTAATATATTCAACTTATTTCAGTGTTTAATATTGTGCTGATGAGGACATGTAATAAGGATATTATTTTGCTTCCCCTTTTGAAAAGAAACAAATTTAAATATTAAGAATAAAATCTTTCAATCATGATATTAACATAAATTCAAAATGAATTGATTTTTATACGACTGCAAAAATATTTTGGGGATCGTATAATGCTATCATGTCGTCGTCATTGTCGTCCGAAGACATTTGGTTTCAGGACAATCACTTAAGTTTCAGTGTATGGATCTCTTTGAAATATAAGCAAAAGGTTCAATACCACAAAAGGAAGGTTATGATAGTTTTTGGGGGTGATGGTTCCGACCGTTTATGAATTAAGGGCCAAAAAGGGGCCCAAAACAAGCATTTTTCTAGTTTCAGGACAATAACTTGTGTATAAGTATTTTGATTGCTCTGAAATTGTACCACAAGGTTCAATATCACAATCGAAGGTAATCGGGGGTAATTGCCCGAACCGTTCAGGAATTAGGGACCAAAAAGGGTCTAAAACAAGCATTTTTCTAGTTTTCAGACAATAACTCGTGTTTAAGTGTATTGACGTCTCTTAAACTGCACATTTCACAAAAAGAAAAGTTTACTTCAAATGTTATTTTTTGTTGGAAAAGGGGGGGGGAGGTTAAAACAAAATTGGGGGGGGGGGGGGGGGGGGGGGTAAAAAAAAATTTTATCCACAAGATTTACTAAGTAATGGTCAACATCACAGTGCAGTGTATTGCACAAAAGCAAGAAATCTTCAATTGAATATAGATTCAAATGATATAACCAATTTTAAGTTCTTTGACTACATTAATTCTGTGTCAGAAACCTATAATGTGTCAAATATTTAATTACAATCCAAATTCAGACGTGTATTAAGCTTGAATATTGTGTCCATTTTTGCCCAAAGTGTTCAGGGTTGGACCTCTGTGGTCGTATCCAGCTGCGCTGGGCGAAGCAGTTTTTTGTATATTTTGCAGTTATAGGTAAACTAATAATTTAAATGTTCAACAAAATTCACATTTACTATAGGCTTGTATGCAGACTTTGTCAAAACCTCTAATATCTCGAAATAACCGTTTTCCTCTATCTACAGAAAGAAATGATTCCAAAGTATTTAATTTTGAAGACTGAATCATGAGTCATGAATTAAAAGTATTTATTATCTGAAAATATTCTCTCATATCATCTATTTATTTTCAATGTCAATGAAATATGTTTGTTATTGTGGTTTGAAAATTCTAATATGATGGTGCAGTGATTGTCTTTGCATTTAAAAATAAGATGATATTGAATATGCAATTTTGTACATAATTTCGTAGAGCATTAGTTAATTTGTCACATAAACAGATTGTTACTATTGGTTGAAAGTCTGTGATTATCAATGTCTCATATTAGCATTTTATTTATACATGTATCAATTTATTGTATATCAGTAAAATATATTAAGATATTTTATATTGAATATTGAAAACTTTGTGATAAGTACATGACATATACATTACTTGCAACTCCTGTGTTACATGACCATCAAAACTTCTTAACAAAAAAAAATTGTATTACCAGTTTTAGCATGATTAAAACATATCACACTTTTGTAATGTACTCTAAGAGTTATAGATAACAAACCATACTGAAGTTTTAATTTAAGTTAAAAAAAAGGTTTATTTCAATTGTCAAAGAAATTTATTTTCCAGATATTTCTCAATGAAAGTAAGACAACTTTTTTTTTCTGAATAGGTTTCATTTGGTTGCTGAATGGTCTCTCCTGAAAATATGCATAAAACCTTTGATTCTGTCTTATTGGTGCTCCATGTAATTAGTTGGAAAATGGTCTTGCCTGACATAAGGCAACATACTAGTGCTATAGGCTATTTTTATTGTGAATAAGATTTCTTGACAGAATTTTTACATTGCAAATATCACAATTGTGACTAAAAAGAATTCAAAAGAAATATTAAAAGTGGCACCTAAAAAAAGAGTGTTATATTTTATTCTGAGATCAAAAGCTGCCAAAGTATACTGAATGTGTAAAATTTCAATAAAAAAGGATATGATAATCAAATGACTAGAAATTAGCTTGTGAAGAAATTTATCCTTTTGGGTAAAAAGTCTTTGGCAAATTTAAATATTTTGAAACTCAGGATATTTATTGTTTTGAATTTAAAACGAAAAATAATATTACATTGTAGTTAAGTTTATACAAAAATGAAAATTGTGAAATTTGATTTTACAAAGTTTATTTATTTACAAGTAACATTTCTAGATTTATGTTTCCTCTTTGGGATATTTAATATAAATAAACATATCATAAAAAGGATTATTGATTTTGTTATGTATGACCACTAACACCTATGGAGTAAGGATATATATTTTAACTCTCTTAGACACAGATATACTCATGTAAATTTTTCAAAGACCTATTGCCACCAAACAAGGGGTAATTGAAACATTTATGATGCCATTTCATACTCGTGGTTGTTTACCTTAACAGCCATCATCTAATGGAAGCATTTGTAAATGGCCCTTCCTCTCTTTTAGAAGCATTTATCCATGTAATATGGTACTAATTGGTCAAAATATTTTATCTAAAAAAAAAAACAATTGCCCTTATTTTTAGCTTATCAATTCTCTGCTGTGACTTTTAACTGTGTGACTTCAGTATCATTAATATGGCTCTTTTTCACACAAGGCTGCTTTATTGACCAAACTTTTCCTAACTATATGTTTTGTAGAACACAAAAGTTTTTTTAAGGTTTTAATTTATTTATAGGTGTGACCTTGACCTACTGACCCCCAAATAAATAGGGATCTTGTTCTTTCCAACAGAATTTAAAGCACTTTCAAGGGTAATATAAAAATAAAGAGATGTTGTGTGACTTTGAATGAGATGCATGTAACTTTCCATTAGAGACCACAGGACAATGATGTGAACACCTACAGGTTACCATATGACCTTTAACAATAAGCACACTCATTATTGTATTGTTCCAACTTCGTCTGACAGGAAAAGGTGATCTAAGGTAGATTTGGCTCTTCTTTTTAGGTCCCATTTGGTAAAATAGCTCATAAACTTTTCAAATAGATCTACATCCTTGGCTTTCAAATTTTTGGGTTGGAGCTTTCCTGATGAGATTAATTCAAAAAAAATACTTCAGACACAACAATTTAGTAACTGTTAATTTTTTTAGCATTGGGCTGATAATGCAGCTGGGCTTCTAGTCCTAGAGGTATTCATTAGCTAAGTAGTCCGTGCTTAGTTACTGACATCATTGATAACATACCTATCTTAAAGTCTCTGTTGGATTTTGCTAGTTTTAGGTTCCTTTTAGTCATATATAGCTAACTATATATTAAAGTAATGATAGATCCTTGACTTTCAAATTTGAACAATTCTGATGAAGGTAAATCCAGAAAAGGTTCTGACACACCAAATTTACAATTTCATTTTATAAGCTTTGAAATTAAAAATTCAAGTGAGTTAACCAACACAACAACCTGAGTTTCGTGAAAGGTTGCACACATGGTTCAGGAAGATTTCTTTAGAAAAAGCAAATAGGTTTTCTGTATTTCAGTAGTAATAGGTTTCTTGCCTTTTGTACCTGAACAAGTACTATTGGGGCAATATAGGATACTTTTAAAATTACCTAATATAATTTTATTAAAAAATGGTACATTTGTACCTAGAGTTAGAAGCATAAAGGCAACCAACCAGATTGATTCATTGACTGCCGTTGGTGTTTTACATCACACTCAGCACTATTAGATACATGTATATCATGGTGGTCAGTTTTTATTGGTGGAGGAAGCTGGAATGCTTGGAGAGAGCCAACGACCTCAAGCAGGGAAACTTGACACTCCTAGTCAATTAAGATTGGAGTCAAACTCGCCTGACATGTTTGGGGTTCAAACTCGCAACCTCAGTGTTGACAGGCTAGTGATACAGTAGATGGACGGACTACTTAAGACCAACCAGTGCTTAAAATATAGTTCAGACACTTATCTTCATTTGTTCAAGAAAATATGTTTACCCCTTTTTTTTTTTTTTTTGGTTGCTATAATAGAAAAGTATCAAAGAAACAGACCAAACCACAAAATTTTACATTGACCAATCAAATGAACCATGAAAATGAGGTCCAGGTCAGATGAAACCTGCCAGTCAGACATGTACATCTTACAATCATTCCACAAATCAAATATAATTCACCTAATACTTATAATATCTGAGAAACAGACTTAAGAAATGTTGTCTGTTCTGTTATATATGGTGTTTTCTAATTTTGGCCTTATTCACAGATTTCCTCATGAAATTTATTATAAAAACATGTGTATTTCCATAAAAAGTTAGATTTTTGCACTACAGCTAGTGCTTCCTGAGGGTGTTTGAGAAGCTTTGAATAGAAGAAACTTGTGATACCAGTGCAAAACGATTGATAGTGATCCTTAGGGCTATTCCATTAAAAAGGAGGTACTAGGGTCGGAAGGCAATTTTTAAGTACCCCCATGACAAAGAGGAATGTACCATGTATCTTAACACCAACCAACAGGAAGTCGTTTCATGATAATACAAGAACCAACTGGAATATATCTAACTTATTTTTACTGGCCCTTCAAAATTGAAAAGAAATTACCTCTTGGAATTGTAGATATATGTATACTCTATAAAAACATCTACATGAAATATCAACATTTATTAATGATAAAGAAAATTACTGTCACATTTCATTAGATTTTGATATTTTTCACATTATTTATTCAAAAGAGGAATTTGAGATATGGATAAACTAATGGTGTAATACCACCATTGTTTTTCCCCTATTAGTCTTTGTTAAATTTGCACTTTTCAAAAAATTGTGCAGGATTTATCTTTGTTTCAAATAAAGAAATACTTGGCAAGAGTAAAGTTTTATCCTGTCCATAAGATAATAACAATCACTGGAAGTTAACCAATCAAATTTCCACCCCTTTCTTTCCTGTTTACAAGCTTTAGTAACCATGTAACCACAAGTTTCCAAAATATTTTAAAAACACCAAATAGAAAAGAATGGTGCTTTGAAACACCCAAGATATAAGTTTATGACTCAGAAAATTTTTACTGCAATGAAATGTAGGATTAGTTTTCTACAACTGTCAAATTCAAGGGAATTCTTTTTTTAGACCCTTTTTCGTATGCAACCGTTTGTGACGTACTATGATTTGGTGGTATTACACCTAATGGATAACCTATACTCTGGTTACAAAAAAGCAAACAACAAAACAAGATTTCCTGTAATATTTGTTGATAATACAGCTGAAGCCTCATATTGAAAAATATAAAAATAAGGAGACACAATCTGATTAAAGTACTGATCCTGTGTCCACCCTTTGTTTACAAGGATCTGAAAATGATCATCTGTTTCTACTTTCTGTTTTAAAAACCTTTTGGGATCCTCTGGTTTTGTCATAATAATAAACACCTTCAAAACTATGTAGGCAGAAATTTCATTGGATGATGTAATAATTACTAGAACAGAAAGTAGGACAGAGCGTTTTCAGATCCATGTAAGTGAAGATTGGATACAGGATCTATATTTTAATCAGAATGAAGCAGATATGAGACAATTATCAACCAGAGTTCAAAATATAGGTACTGTAGGGCTTTCAACAATAAGCAATATCCATAATGTATAGTCAGCTTTAAAAGCCCAGACATGACAAAATGTGAAACAATTCAAAAGAGTAAACTAACAGTCTGATTTATAACAACAATTAATGAAAAACGAAAATGAACCAACACAACCACTGAATAACAGGCTCCTGGGAATTAGTTTTACTGTCATCTCCATCAACACTGGAATGTTATTTGATTTAGTTCAATCAGTTTATTGATTGATTAATTGTTTCTTGCTGCTATTTCAGAAACAGTTTGTATGACAGACCAGTTGCAGGCACTGATATTTGCTACATATATGCTTAATGAAAGTGATATAGTGAAATACTAATTCGCTTTAGCAGCCAATTTGGTTCAATTTTGTCAAAATAAATAAATATCAGTGATGAATTATTCACTTGCAAGTGAATAATTCGACCTCATTGAATCCGTATTCATGTGACCTTTAATTTAACTCCTTAGCTGGAGATGGGTTACGCATGTATTCAGCTATTAAAAGGAAAAGGATGTCAACATTGAAAGTGAAACAAGGATGAATAATTTGGTTGACTGATTCGATCCACAAAAAAACTATTTCTTACACAGGTTTAAACGACGATAAACATACCTTTTACCCTACAATATGAAATCAAACAGACCTAGAAAAATCCAATTGCACGTGGACGCTATCTTTTTATATCTAATTTATGCTTATATCTGGTTATATGACCGTCGGCAGTCTTCGGATGTCATCTCGATGGTTAATTAGATGATGTTTAGACAAAAATACACACAAAATGTTGATACATATTATCGAGTCCATGCATTGTTAATTGTTTATTTTAGACATTTTGTAATTTGGATATACGTTTTAGTATGTTATAAATCAAATATAAGAATTTGAGTCAAATCGGTGAAGATGAATTTGACAGCTAATGCCCCTTTAAGTGAAATGAATAACTAAATCATATAATTTGATCGGCTTACAACTGTTCAATGTAGGTTTTTTACATAACTTTACTATTGAAATTGAAAAAAATGTCCGGTTAACTGATTAACTGATGACAACATTAAGTTATAGAGAAAGTCCAAGTAACTGTCCATTCCTGGGAAATAATGGATGAGTCTTAACATGCTCAAATAGCAATACAAGCAAACTGAAAGTATTTTTCATTCTTCCCTATTATCAGAAAGGAAGCAAACAAGTTTTAGAAAAATAAACCGGCATGATTAAAATCATTTCTGGATTCCGTATTGTATTTCTTTAACTTAAGTGCAAAACTTCTTTTTAATTTCATTTTATCATTTCAAGATTAACGCCGTCATTTGCACTGCCGATATAAATGTTATATTTGCCACTGGACATATAACAACAGTGAATAAATTCGGTTATGTTACGCGTTTCTGTTGAAAATTGAATAAAAACCCCGCCCAATATTTAACACAAGCCTTAATCAAATGTTATCCATAACCCGTCAAATTCTATTCATTAGTACTATATTCAAGTTATAACAATGATACCGATACGCCATTTTGACCATTTCAGTTTCTTGAACTATTTATTCTATTAAACCACAATATTATTGTAGAAACTCTCCGAGTAATTTTTCTGTTTTATATGTATATATTAAAGAGCAACAAGCAATTTTTGCTGTACAAAATCGAAATACAACATTTAAATTTCAAGGAAAGGGAAGTAACTCTTGCACTTCCGGAACTGGTACCATAGGTAGAATACAACGTTGCGATTGCCGCTGCGTCGGTCGTGGGAACAGTTATGTTTTCTAAAATATCACGATATGAGCAGGAGACAAAAACAGCATATCAAGGGTCAGAATACATAATTCTTTTTGAAACAATGAATAAAAAATGTATTGCTATCATAATATCACTTTTCCTGTATATACATGTATACAAATAATATGGTCATGGTCTTGTCTGTTTTAATTGGACTTTTGATTTTTATTGCCAACTTGATAACTTATCTCTCTATTTTAATGCTAGACAGGAGGTCTAGGGATGAACATATTCGTACATAAGAATGATTGACTTATTATTGGTGTTTAACTTTTTGCACACTTGGGTATATCATGGTGACTAGTTGGAGGAAACCAGAGTACACCGAGAGAACCACCAATCTATGGCACGATAACTTACAATTCTAATCATTACAGACCACCTTGCCACAAATGTTATATTATTACTAAACCTTTTGTTTTTGTGCTTTGCATCGTTCAGATGAGTTAAGGCCTTTCTTACTGATTTTTATAGTTTTTTCTCATGTTGTGCTGTTACACTATGTCCCAGGTTAGCATGGTTAGGGGGCCAGTTGGACGCCCACAATCATGTTTAACCCCGCCACATTCTGTATGAGTCTGTCCCAAGTCGGGAGCCTGCAATTCAGTGGTTGTCATTTGTTGCTGTACATCATATTTGTTTTTGCTTATTGTTTTGTACATAATGTCATAAGTCGGGCCGTTAGTTGTCTTGTTTGAATTGTTTTGCATTTAAAATTGAGAATGGAAATGGGGAATGTGTTAAAAAGACAACAACCCGACCATAGAGCAGACAACAGCTGAAGGCCACCAATGGGTCTTCTCATTTCATGGTCTTATATAGCTTTATGTGCGGTTTAGGTTTCAGTGGCGGATTTACCGGGGGGGCACAGGGGGCACGTGCCCCCCCAGTCGGGGTCACCAAAAATTTTTCTAACATAGTTTTATTGCTACTGTATCTGTTTATCTATCGATATAGCTAGATATCTAGATCTAAAATCAAGACACAGCTTGATCTGACTTCCTAAACTGGTCGTTAATTAACCCCAGCTTCAACATGCGTGATTTATGACAACTTATCGATGGTTGTGTAAATATTGACACCTTTGTGTAATGTCTATATCCAAAAGCATTTATGTAAACTACATGTACATCTACATGCTGATTGGAATTAATACGAATATATTTATTGATTTCTAATACAATATTACATGATCAAGATCGATTAACAAGAGAAATCTTCTGATCAGGAAAGACATTACCAACTAAAATCGGTCTGAAAAGAATATGTAAAAATAGATGTTTAGTGTCAGGAATGTTAGCATCGATATGAGATACGTCTTTATTACCAAACACTCACATTGTATACGGTTTCTGGGGAATGTGTCTTTCTCAGAAGTCTTTTTCGGACTTTATTAAACAACAAACGATTTTTTTTCAATGCATACAGCATTTTTTTAAACTGAATGTCGTGTTTTTTCCCTTTATTTTTTTTATAGAAACCAATGATTTGTCTTTAAAAAAAACCTTAAGTCCCCCTCCACAAAACATGAATGGTCTGTGCCTTATATATATATCATTAATAAAATGATATTGTACTTTTAGAAAACCTATACTCATATTTGAGATAAAGAACAGCAACAAAAGCGCTGTTCCTTTGCTTATTGTGTGTTTTTCTGCTGTGCATGTACTGATTTTGTGTCGTGGATGGATACCCAATATCCATTCTTTTTCTATTATAGTACAGTAATATGTGTATACACATTTTTTTCTTGTTTAATTACCATGTATGAGGGTATGAATAGGTTACCATGAATGAGGGTATGAATGGTTTACCGTGAATGAGGGTATGAATGGGGTTTACAGATTAGAGAATAATGGTCAAAAAGTAAAGACTAGAAAAAAATGTGCCCCAAAAATATAGAAAACAGATTAAAGGTGTGATGAACTATAAAGAATAGAGGACAATTGGCAGCAAATAAAAGAGTAGAAAGAAATGGATCCAAAAATAATGAAAAGATATAGAAATGAAGACCTGACCCCCCCTTCCACGACCACCATCATCCCCAATACATGACACCACCACCACCCACACTCGCATATATACATATCTAAACAAATCTTTAATTTTGGTTTCATGGTGCCCCCCCAGACTTCGAGGTTCTGGATCCGCCCCTGGGTTTTTCTCATTGCTAAATGCCTTATAGCATGTATAGTGACCTATAGTTGCTAACTTCTACGTCTTTTGGTCTCTGGTGGAGAATTAGATTTCTCATGTCAGGGTCTTTTATAGCTTGCTATATGCTGTATGGGTTTTGCTTATTGTTGAAGGCTGTAGGGTATCCTTTTTTGCTAGCCAAATGTTATGATCCGTCCCTTGGCAGATTAAGTCAGAATTTCGGATCCACAAGGTAACCATTTTCATTGATCAGGTTTGTGACTAGCTGCATCCAATCAAAAAGTGCCTTTACGATGATCACGTGTAAATGTAAAAAATGTTGATAAACAGTTGCCAACGTGCAGATTATGCAACAAGTCTTTTCTGTTTTATATGTATATATTAAAGAGCAACAAGCAATTTTTGCTGTACAAAATCGAAATACAACATTTAAATTTCAAGGAAAGGGAAGTAACTCTTGCACTTCCGGAACTGGTACCATAGGTAGAATACAACGTTGCGATTGCCGCTGCGTCGGTCGTGGGAACAGTTATATTTTCTAAAATATCACGATATGAGCAGGAGACAAAAACAATAGGTTATTTAAGTCCTTGCAAAAACAAATAATAATAAATACCGAAAAATAAAACAATGAAACCGACAGTCACGAAAACTGACTGTCAAAGAAGACCAACAACCATCAATACTTAGTTTCTCTAAACACCAAGGGCCACTGGCCATAAACGCTTCAACACATCAACAACCAACGGGATTTTTTATAATTGCCGTCCGACCCTGGTACATTCTTTTTAATGGAATAGCCCTTAGAGTTCTTGATACTTTGGAAGAGGCTCAAAAATAGCAGTTCAGAAAGTTAAAATGATTTTTATACAAAATGAATTTAATAACAATGAAACCTGATGACTATCATTTCACAGAAAGAAATTTCAGTAACTTTTCAAAATCCAAAAACATATCCACTAACTGTCTTCTGTCTTTTTTCCTTAGAATATTATATTGTTTACTGAATGTCACAACTGCTTCTTTCTCTCGTAAACATCCATTACATGAATCTTCATAATATCCATCATCTGGTTTAAAACATGTTAATGTCACCTGAAATATTAAAAGAAACCATTTTTAAACATTCCTACTTTTAGTCATTGAGTCGGCCAAATGTAGCAGAGTGATTTTTATGATCATTTTATATATTGTAAAAATCATCTATTTATTAAATTACTATATTTATGATAAAAGCTTAATTACATATTTTGAATATTGAATTTTTAGTTTAAATTATTACTTGAAAACCTTACTTATATGTATAGTAATATTCACGTTATTTTCAATGAATATTCATTAGGGATTTACTTGAATCATTGTATCTGATTGGTTGTTAATATTTCGCGGTCAAGTTTAATTTCCTTTGTTTTGTACCTGTATATTTCCACGGACGATACCCATGACAGTCGATTGTATTTATGTCTGATTATATTGACCACATAGTTACCTGTATACCTAATTATTTTGGACACAACATATTATTGAATACTGTAAGTTTACTTCTTTATTAACATTATTTATATTTTTCACGTAAATGATATTATAGCAAAGTTTCTATTTGTCTTGTAACGTTCTCCTCATATCGCATGCATGTAACATAAGTACACAAGATGTACATGAGACTATTTTATTAAGCTATAAGTATATGATTTTATAATCTACGGTTTATTTGCCACGGTAGACTATTGTATTGTTAATTTGCGTACATTACTATTTGATTATTGTCACGAATAGTCTATATTTTATAAATGGCTGCTTGTTAAACAAAAGACTGAAAAGTGTTTCCATTTATATAAAGTAATAGTTTTGTATCAAATAGTTTTTATAAAGTACAAATATGAATGAGTAAAGAATATTTGTCACATTGTATATTTCTATAATTAGAGTCCGAGTATTTATGTTCGTATTTTGGTTTTAGGACTCCATGTAATGTGTAATTATATAGGACACATGATTGTGTGATGTTTATTTGATGTGCCGTTAACCTTACTAGTTCAACTCACTCCATAAGTGGTAAGAGTATATTTATTTATAGTTTGGCATTGTTTATATTGTATTGTAAACATGAGTTACCTCCCCTTTATTTGGATTTGATATCCATAATGGTAATCAACAGATCATATGTCCATGTGCTGTAACAATTTTTATATTGCTTTTTCAAAGTTTTCAGTAATTGTGACAATGTCTAATGTAATTGATAGATTAAAACTTCAGATATATCATTTTTTTAACTGCTGATCCTAAGGACCATTCAGACCAAATTTGACTGAATGTGGTCCAGTAGTGTAAAAATATTTACAATGAATAATGAAGACAAAAAGCTGAAACATTTCCTACATGGGTAATTGAGAGATCTAAAAAGATAAGTTTGAAGCTCCCAGGATCCTGAACTGCTCACTTGTATTTATTAACCTACTATAGAAACTTTTCTATTGACTTAATTTGAGCAATTTTTACAATCATAACCCTTATGGTACTAACTTGATATCTATATCTTCCAAGGTTTATCACTACCATAGCTAGTTCAGCTAATAAAATTATCGATAAATGAAATTATGTTCACAAAATCAGTTGATGCATCACACTTTAAGCACACTTTTTACTAAACACTTAAAAATTGCCAACGAGTATTTACATTTGTTTCTTGTACAACAAATCCATACATTCCACGATTTCCGAAAACTGAGAATGGTAAGGTACACAGGAACTGTCCACAATGTTGACCTTTTAGGGAGGAACAAATATGGTCTTCATGAGACTTTTTCTGTTTTTTGCTTAAATTTTCGACTTGATCATTGTCTTCATCTTGATCTTGTTTTACCTGAGAATAAAAATAAATACAGAACCATTGAAACCTATATTGATAAATGTCCAGGTAGCATATCAAGGGTCAGAATACATAATTCTTTTTGAAACAATGAATAAAAAATGTATTGCTATCATAATATCACTTTTCCTGTATATACATGTATACAAATAATATGGTCATGGTCTTGTCTGTTTTAATTGGACTTTTGATTTTTATTGCCAACTTGATAACTTATCTCTCTATTTTAATGCTAGACAGGAGGTCTAGGGATGAACATATTCGTACATAAGAATGATTGACTTATTATTGGTGTTTAACTTTTTGCACACTTGGGTATATCATGGTGACTAGTTGGAGGAAACCAGAGTACACCGAGAGAACCACCAATCTATGGCACGATAACTTACAATTCTAATCATTACAGACCACCTTGCCACAAATGTTATATTATTACTAAACCTTTTGTTTTTGTGCTTTGCATCGTTCAGATGAGTTAAGGCCTTTCTTACTGATTTTTATAGTTTTTTCTCATGTTGTGCTGTTACACTATGTCCCAGGTTAGCATGGTTAGGGGGCCAGTTGGACGCCCACAATCATGTTTAACCCCGCCACATTCTGTATGAGTCTGTCCCAAGTCGGGAGCCTGCAATTCAGTGGTTGTCATTTGTTGCTGTACATCATATTTGTTTTTGCTTATTGTTTTGTACATAATGTCATAAGTCGGGCCGTTAGTTGTCTTGTTTGAATTGTTTTGCATTTAAAATTGAGAATGGAAATGGGGAATGTGTTAAAAAGACAACAACCCGACCATAGAGCAGACAACAGCTGAAGGCCACCAATGGGTCTTCTCATTTCATGGTCTTATATAGCTTTATGTGCGGTTTAGGTTTTTCTCATTGCTAAATGCCTTATAGCATGTATAGTGACCTATAGTTGCTAACTTCTACGTCTTTTGGTCTCTGGTGGAGAATTAGATTTCTCATGTCAGGGTCTTTTATAGCTTGCTATATGCTGTATGGGTTTTGCTTATTGTTGAAGGCTGTAGGGTATCCTTTTTTGCTAGCCAAATGTTATGATCCGTCCCTTGGCAGATTAAGTCAGAATTTCGGATCCACAAGGTAACCATTTTCATTGATCAGGTTTGTGACTAGCTGCATCCAATCAAAAAGTGCCTTTACGATGATCACGTGTAAATGTAAAAAATGTTGATAAACAGTTGCCAACGTGCAGATTATGCAACAAGTCTTTACCCCTTAAACATATAACCATGTTTAAAGACATTTTTCATGTTCTAAATCAAATAATTGAAGTTCTTGAGTATATTTCTCATACAAATGTGTGAATGTCAACGTATACAGGTGATATCTGCTTCACAAAATTTATAAACACTGGACACATCTATGTTTACACCTCCGAACTTAAGACAGAAAAGTGCTGTCATTGGTCAAGAGTGATGTTATCAAAGTGGGCGTAACTTCTATATGTCCTTAGATGGCACATTGTTGTATACACAAATTTTGTCTTAATCTGCGAAGGGTGAAGATGAGCAGTCAGGGGACTTACTTAAATGAGTGATTTTCTAAATCACTAATTCAAGTAACATTATGTCCATAAAGGTTGGAAGTGAGAGTTGTCTTTCTTTAATAATCACCTATTTAAGTAGTACAAATTAACCACTAGACTAAGTGATTTAACTTTATTGTAGCTTTAAATATAGAATACTAATGATCCAGGGACTTATTATGTTGCTTAAATTATCAGAACCAACATCTGTGTTGATAGGATGACCGGGTCATGTCAGGTGATGACCTTGTACTAAATCTAGGATAATGACATAAAAATCACTTGTTTAAGTATCATACCTCAATTTCCTTCCAAAAAATCACTTCTTTAAGTATCATGATTTTAATAACCCCACTAATTTCAACACCCCCGAACAGTGAAATTTTGATCGCGAACAGTAGAATTTTATTACATAATCTATAAGATGAAACCTTGAATTTTACAGGAAAAATACTCCCACTGCTGGGAAAAATCTGTTAAGAAAATATCAGTTCATCATGTAAAGTCATTTTTATAGCATTTTTTCAACTAAAATAGAATTTGCAGCTAAATGATTGCATCATAGGCATAAACCTTGCTGCTTAAAAGAAGCAAAGAGTTCATTTTTTTCAATTTTACTAATGAAAAGATATTATCTAAACCTATGTGTTTAAAATTTTGGTAAAACTACAAAATCACAATTTGTGACAAAACTTCGAATTTGCTACTTAAATAAGTGATTTAAAAATCACTTATTTCAATAAGTCCCCTGACTGATGAGTGGGCCGTATCATAACCAATGGCTAGCAAAGATGTAGGGTGACCTATAGTTGTTAACTTCTACATTATTTGGTGGAAAGTTGTCAAATTGTAATCATCATGATCATACCACAGAACTCTTAATTCTTATAGCTAACATGGACCTTTCATCAATGTAAACTAGAAAATTTACAATGACAAAAGTTGAAAATGACGTGCTGACAATAGGCCTCAAAGACTTTTCTGACTTTTCATCAACATTTGTGAGCTAAAGAACAACAAATTCTACACACACACACTGTACCTTCCCTATTTATTTATTTTCCTACCAGACAGGACACCCAACTATATTTTTTTTTACCATACCGTTATAACAGCAAAAATTTTGTCACTATCAAAGGCAGATGGATGGCATATAATTGCATCTGGTGTTGCAACAAAGTCATTTTCTTTAATTGTTATGGAGTACTCTTCAACATTGGAACCGCTCCTGAAAAGAAAAAGATTCTGAGAATTATGTCCCTTTCAATGTACCAGCAATGAAATAAATTAATCAATGGGTATAATAAAATTTCAAAGCACAGCAAAAATCCACTAAGTTTCCCTTGCACTTTATTTTAACAACTTCTGCTAGTTGAAAAATAACAGGAATTATACATGTATAATATAAATTCAAAGTGCAGGTAAACAGCTTGAGTGACTGCCCATCAGATCTAACATATTCTCATACAAGGTACAAATCAACATTAAAAAGTTCAGGATAAAATAGAAAATCATTCTTAATTAGATATAAGAAGATGTGGTATGAGTGCCTATGAGACAACTCTCCATCCAAGTCACAATTAAACATGTTTAACACAGAAGCAATATGCAAGGAAAGTTATGAATAAAAGAATGTTTCATTGGCTATTTGTATCATTGGGTTGCTGTCTCATTGACATATCACATCTTCTTTTATTTATCAGACTCTTGAAGTGTGAATTGGCATTCAAACTGGACAAAGTTCCTAAAACCTGTTAAAGAGATTAAAGTCTTCATTCTTTTTTGAAGTAGATAAATGCATGTATGTAGAGTTCAGGTGCAAGATATTCATAGTTTTCATTCATTTGAATACTTCCATGGTATGGAACAGCATTACTATCATTAGTTTTATTTTGATCTTGATGAGACAGAATTTTAAAATGCTGAGAAGATTTTAGGTTTCTAATTTATGTTATCAAATACTTTGCCAATTCTAATATCTATTTATAACCATGCAATTTGAATAAATATAGCAAGATAGAATACTCTCAATATGTTTTCTAATATGGTTATACTTACACAATATTTAAGCCAAATATTCTTGCAAAAGAGACAAAAAGTTCTTGATACATTCCTTTTGAAAGTTTCTTTAGTCTATTTTCTTTTTGTTTTCTATGCATGTGTAGTAGCTGCCACATAAACATATTCAAAGTTGTACACAATTCTCTATCACAGATTCTACAATAAATTTACATGTAGCAAAAATGAAATATATAGCTATAGAAGTTTTAGTTTAGCAATGAAACATATATTACAAGTAATTCCAAATTTAGTCTTTTTTCCAGCTGTTTTTATATTACTGTTTTGTACATGTACATAAAAGTTGTTTTTCTCATTCTAATAATTCTACAAATTATAAATAAATTAAGTCTCGATTAAATACAATTGTTTACATTCATTTATATCTGTCTACATGAACATTTTTTTTTTAAGTTGGACCTTCAACATGTTCAAGATTTTTAACACATTTTTTTTTATTAATCATGTTAATAGTCCCATAAGATCTTTTGGTATTAATTATATAAGAGGGTGGTAATGGGGGGTCCTAAACACGGAAACACATGAAATAAAAATCCCCAAAAACGTTGTACAGAAAATAAAAATCGTGACAAAAGAAAGCACGAGAAATAAAATTGCAAGTACAAACAATGTATTAAGGAAAAAGTACTAGAAGTTATTACTCAGCCATTCTTGGAGATCTGGCAGTAGTTATTAATGGACATGACGACCCCGCAGTCACCTTTAAGCGTTCGCAAGTTGCATCTGATTAAAATAAAATATTATTCATAGTCATTTGATAGCAATTAATATCCTGGGAACACATAATTTAAAACAATCTCCAGACTGACTTTGAATTTAGACCCGGTTTACTATTTAATGAAATGCATGGCCAAGCACGAGAAATATAGAGTACCGACACGAAACTTGGAAAGTAAATAAAGGGAAACACGAAGCATGCACTTCGAACCAAACACGAGAAAACGAGAAATAAAACGGCAAAACACGAAAAAACATGTTTAATAAAAAGGCAGAAAACGTTGCACTAAAATAACCCTTTACCACCCTCATATCATAGTTATCGAAAAACTGGTCAATATCATGATATATGGACTGCCCACAGAACAGTGGTATTGACTTGGACAGCGATAATGACCAAGCCACATGGGCAGTCCATGTATCATGATAATGACCAGTTCTTAAATAGATATTATGTTTATTTCATTGAAGAACTATTTTTCTTAAAATTCCCCCATTAACATGATTAATTCAAATTGTTCAAAGCAAACTTGAGCATGTTGATTTAATGTACGATTTCTATAGGTAAGAGTATGAAGACCAGTCATAGTGATACCTATAAGTCACTGCCATTCATTTAACATGTTTAAATGCAATTTATCAGTATATTAAATAAAAAAATAAAGTTTTCTATAATTTTATAATTTAACAAAACATATGGTAAACATGGTAAACAATTCAACAATTTCTATATATAATTTAAAACAGGAAAATGTTTAACCGACATTTAAACTGGAAAAAATCCACGTAGTTATACATGTATAAAATTTATCTCCATAGCGAAACCACCCTCCACAGGTCACTAACATGTAAACATCTGTTTATAACAACCGGTTTTCATGTCCGTTTTTTTCTGTTAAAGACCGATGGAATTTGACGTGACTGAAGAATAAATAATGTCATGTGGATCCTTGTTATCCAACAAGAAAAGCTACTTCTTAACCAATATGAAATAACTGTTATTACTAAATTAGTGTATAATTAAGGATGACAATCATGACAATAGTTATAAAGCGAGTCTAGCGTTTCTTTCAGCATGTTCAAGAGCATATACCATGTATACATGATATATATCAATTAAGAAAAAAATCCAGATGTCTAAAAAATGTTATAAATAAGAGCAAAATTGGTATGAATTGACACCTACAATGTAGAACTGTAAATAAAATGACATATATCTGAAAATTATAAGACTTTGTTATCGATAAAAGCAGTATTACTCCATATAAAAAGAGAATTAGGGTAATATATATCAGCTCTCCTGTTCATCTGACTTCTCCCGAAATCGTTGTATTGACTCATTCGAGTCATGAGGGTAGGCATGGTAGGAATGCTTTACCGTCAGTATGGTCAGGCGTCAAACAGTAATTTTCAGCTTTAAAGTTTACCATTTTCATAATATCCTTATAGTGATTCATCAGAGTTCTCAAATACTTATCGTTACCATTATTTTTGAAAAAAAAATAACTTGATTCGTCAAAATCAGTCAATTTTTTATCGTCTAAAAGGAACATGAGGAAGTGTACATTTATCATTGTTTATTGTCATACAGCAAATTTTACCATAAACGTCGTTTGGCAAGAATTTTACCAGTATTCGTCATAAAGGTTCCCCCATTACAACCCTCATTCATTGGCAATCAGAACAAACCTCAAGTAATTTTGCTTTTTATATACATATATCAGTGTATATAGGTTATTTGGAAAAAGTAATGATTAGTTTCATTAATATGTATTGTCAATGGCTTCAAGTTTTTAGGGGTTGGTCAGCTGGGATTCTTAGAATACAGTGTATCTTGGCCTGATCAATGCCAATGGTCTGTAACTACCTTCTGACAAGTCGTTGATTACAATCAGTCTTGGCTATATAGGTGTCAATCCAATGACAGTCTTCAATCTTCTGGTTTAATATCTGTATGTCCTCATTATCAATATCATCAATATGGCAACAGTCAATGTCAAAAACTTCAAGAAGTGCGTACTGAAAACACTCATATTTTTCTTTATCTTCTTTTCGACCTTTCAAAAAAAGATTGAATATTTCAGAACATGTTGCTTTTTCAATAAAATGCAAAATACCCTTCGTAAATACGTCATAATCTTCTGAAGCATAAGTGTCACTGTCAAACTTGATTTGGAAATTCGGTAATATCATTGCTGTCCATTCCGACGTGTTTTTCTTAATGTTTTCCAAAAAGTAAGAACCACTGTTTTCTTCAGGACGAGAGACATTTTCCCTATATTCAGAATCACTACCCTTCTTTTTCGATCTATGTCTTTCCAAGATTTCATCGCTATCATCGGATAATAGTTGTGTTTCAAAATCAGAAAGGCTCCTTTTCACACCATGTGATGAATCAGGAATACATTGTTTTGCCAAGTCTACTTTCGAATTCAACGACGCCATATTGATGCTTCTTCATCAGGACAGCTCGCCCCAAGGAAAGTTGGACCATCTACAAAAAATGTGAACGAACAAAAATCCAAAAAGAAACCAAAAATATAAAAAAAAAAATAAACAGAATTATAAAAGACAGAGGAAATCCGTATTGTCTATTAAAAAGACCACCCCAAACCTATTTAAGCATTGCTATTGGTGTACTTCACTAATCTTGATGACAAACAAGGGACAAATAAGCCTGCCCTTAATTCGACCCGGCAAAGTCAAGTTTGACCGTGGTTCATTATGTATATATATAACAAGGTATCTCGAACTAAATAAGGGACTTTTCGTTTTCTACCTAGGGTGGAAAGGGGGGGGGGGGGGGAGGGGTGGTCATTTTGAAAACAACCATGTAAATTTTTTTTTGTGACGGCATGAAAAAAGGCGACCATGCCTGATGACGTCACATAGAAAGAACACATCTTTTTGCAGATCATTCGAAAAGAAGGAATAAATTTGCCTGCGTATTGTTTGAAAATCATTAGAGAAACAGATTCAACCACCAAATCTCGTGTAATACGATATTTATCCACTCTCGACAGTTAAATTTTAAATATTTAAAACGCTCGGCAAGCCTCGCGTTTTAAAATTGAAAATTTAACTTTCTCGAGTGGATAAATATCGTATCACACTCGATGCAGTGGTAGAATCTATGTATATATATGGTATTTGTGAAATAAAGAATCTGAAAATCTGAATCTTCAAATTGCATATTGTTCATATTGAATTCTAAAACAAAATATAAAGTGCTCGTAATAAATCCCGTGAACAGGGGACTTAGACTAACGGAAGGGGTACTTGTACTTCTAAATAATTGATATAAATAAATAAATAAATAAATAAGTATTATTATTGAGCTGTGTTTACCCGAGTTTATCTGTCAAATAAATACGCGCAAACGTAATCAAAAGCTGCGCGCAAACATAATGAATTTTGCGCGCAAATGTAATGGTAATGTACCGTTACGTTTGCGAGAATTTGGGGATTAAAATTACATTTGCGCGCATTTATTTTACAGGTAAACTCAGGTAAAAATAATGTTAATATAAATAAAAATAATATACAAATACAAATATGACTATTATTTGTTAATTTTCATAATAAATATGACTATAAATAATTATTATTATTTTGGAAAACATTTGTTAATTAGAATTAAAAAAAAAATTAAAAAGATGTGTCAATTTATCAGGGTTATAATATGCCAACATTTAAACATGCAAAACACTTTCCTTTGACACACATGATGATATGGGTTGAGAAATCTTTTTTTTTTCTTTAATTTTGATTAATCTATAGCTAATGAATACTGAAATATTTATATGAACAAAATCCGAAATGTGCAGTCTTAATGAAACTGGGAAGATCATTTTGAATGCAAAATGAGATTACAGAAATTACGGAATTTGTCAACTACATACCGATAGCAATTATGTTTATATCTTAATGTTTGGTACTAATGAATGATGACCTTTTGCTTAAATATTATAAGATAAAAAAAATTTCTAATTGCTTCTGTTATTACAGTGTCAACGACCGATTTTGACTTTTGATTTTTGTCACTTGCATAACAATATTGTCAACTACACAACATTAATGTCCACGACATAACAGAATTAAGTCAATTGCTTTGTAAAATTGAGAACGGAAATGGGGAATGTGTCAAAGAGACAACAACCCGACCAAAGAGCAGAAAACAGCCGAAGGCTATAGGCCACCAATGGGTCTTCAACACAGCGAGAAAACCAAGCACCCGGGGGCGGGCTTCAGCTGCCCGTTGACGTTATGTAGTGGACATATTCACTTTTTGGGGCGTTTTTTTAATACCACTGATATACTTCGACATCACATACACTATGTTTTTCTATAAAGCACAGAACATTGATTGTAATGATATAGATGTGGACGTGATATTCCATTGTTATCTTGATAAAAAATTCCTGTTACCAAGTGGACAAGTTAAAAAATACAGGGCTACCTCTACCTACTTAAATGCCAGTAATTGCTGATACCATTTACAGAGTTTATTAAAATTATCTTTTTATGCTTCCATTATTATAATGGTACGTAGAGTTAGTGCTGAGGCACTTTCAAGTTAAAAAGGAGTGTCAGAAGTTATAGTATAGGAGACAAAAACGTTTTCGTTATGTATAGTTGACAAGATATGAAGGACACTATAATTTTTTTTTAATAAATCTAAAACTATAGCTAGCTACAATTTAAAGCCTCTATAATATTAATCTTCATCGTATTGTCTATCTTTAAATAGAAAGTTGTAAGATTTTTGTATAATTTGGTATTTTTTAGTGGGGACATCTAGTTTGGGGTTAATTTACAAGGTTGAGCACGATTTCCAAGAAAATCCATGTACTATTCATTATTTTTCTGTTGCAAGTAGTAGAACTTACGTTGCACTGAGACTACTATAACATGTGTTATAGTCTAGTCTCTCAGTTGCACTATGCAGGACACCAACGTTCAAATACTAATAAATTAAGCCGTATTTTCATCACAGGTCAGTCGTACAAGAATATTGACGGACTCTGAAAATGACCCATATGTAGGATATACTTGAAGATTGAAAAGTTCCCAAATGTTTCATTAGAGATAAAATTGATTCCCTCACTTTGAATTAATAAAAAAAAAATTGAACCCCCCTTTTCCATTTACAGGACTTTTAACATAGCGAGAAAATCCCGCAACCGGAGGCGAGCTTCAGCTGGCCATTAATCAAAAAGTGTACTAGTTCAACGAAAATGGACGTCACACCAAACTCCAACAAATAAAAATGAACTAAAATTAAAAAACATACAAGACTAACAAAAGCCCGAGGTACCTGACTCGATGCCACTGCTGGTGGACGTTTCGTCCCCGAGGGTATCACAAGCCCAGTAGTCAGCACTTCGGTGTTGACATGAATATCAATTACATGGTCATTTTTATAAATTAACTGTTTGCAAAAGTATGAATTATTCGAAATATTAAGGATTTTCTTATCCCAGGCATAGATTACCATAGCCGTGTTTGGCACAACTTTTTGGAATTTTGGGTCCTCAATACTCTTCAACTTTATATTTGTTCGGCTTTCTAACTATTTTGATCTGAGCGTCACTGATGAGTCTTATGTAGACGAAACGTGCGTCTGGCGTATCAAATTATAAGCCTGGTACATTTGATAACTATTGGGACATGCGCAAAAATGCGGCGGGGTTAAACATGTTTTAGGAGATTTCAACCCTCCCCGATACCTCTAGCCAATGTAGAATAAACAAACACAGCAATACGCACAGTAAAACTGAGTTAGTTTTGTTTTGTTTCTGAGTACTAGCACAAGAATTGCAAATACAAGTTCACATTACATAAATAAAGAAACATACAACACTAAAGCTGTTGACAGGACACTAATTTTAAGCCACCTGAAATGTATTCTAAAATAGTATAAGGACTAATGACTAAAGTCACATCAAGAAAAAAGTCGCACTGAATAAAGAAGGCATTGGTCCTCATATTGCTAACACTCATTTTAATAGCACAATGAAAGTACTGGGAAAGTGGAAAAGGCTAATTTTGCGAGGTCGTCAACATAATATATACAAAAAAAAAAAAAACCAACAAAAAAACGCAAGAAGGAATATCTTGGATATATTTCTGAAAACATCTCTAAACATAGAAAGCTTTTTTGTCGTCGGTGAATATTGTCAGAGTATAAAATTGAACACTGGGTCTTGAATAAAATAACAGATCATCTGTTATAGATGTAGTTCATTTGCATCAAGAACTTCAGGTTCGAGATGAATATGCTGCTGTCCGAGAATCCTTATGTCCCGGAGATGCAGATGTAGCGTACAAATTGCTTTATTCTTGTGAAGTTATTGGTTTTGAGAAAAATGATAATATTGAAAAGGTGCACTTACAATTTTTAAAAAGAATACTTAAAGTACGAACCAATTAATATAAAATGTAGAATATTAACATACTAGAATAGTCTTTTACCCTCCAACAAACTATCGTCAAAATTTGCCACTTTACTATTCAGATTGTTCTCGGACGATACGCATGGAAATAAGTGGATATATTTTATCAAGTCTACTTTTGACGAAATTGGGCTCATGCAGTTTTATTTTCTCAGACCAGTTACATGCAAGTACTGATTGGTTAAAGGTATATGTAAAACAGATATTACATGATCAGTTTATTCAGAAGTGGAATGCAGATTTGGCAAACACTTCTAGGGGTCGTTTCTATATGTCATTCAAAACATATTTTATTATAGAAACACATTTATTACGACTTAATTCGCATCAAAGAACACATATAACTAAATTGAGATGATCAAATCTCAAATTTCCTATTGAAACTGGTCGTTGGAGAAATATTCTCAAAAATAATCGTATATGTGAAAAATGCGCAGATGGTTTAGTTGGAGACGAGTTCCACTATCTTTTTATTTGTCAAAATGACACGAAAATGGATCTCCAAAAAAGATGTATTCCACAATATTATTTGAATAATCCATGTGAAGCTAAAATGTGTGATATGCTTATACTATGTCATACATAGTTACTTACAACCTTGTCTCTGTTAATTAAAAAAAATCAGTCCACTGTTTTAAATCTGGACTCCTGTATCCACTCTATCCCTAATGTTTTTGTATTTACACTGTTCATTATAGATTATATTGCTTTTTGTATATTATATAATATTATGTTTTGTGTTTGCTTATGTTGCACACTTGTTTGCCTGGATTTTTGAAATAAAATCTTGAAATCATAAAAAAATCTTACAATCACATACTAGGTGGTATTTTATATCTGTCATTAGCGGCACACAAAACTTAATTCAATAGAAAATGAAATACCAGGTGCACACTGGGCTACAGATTTAGTAATTATAATATACCAATGTGTTTGAACATACATGTATAATCGTCCACAGCATGAAAAAGTAAAAGTAGAAGAAATAGTAGACACAATAAATAATGAGCT